GAGGTTGAGAAAGAGACAGGGAGGAAAATGAGGAAATGAGGGGATGAAAGGACGCATGAGAGAACGAGGAATTGAGATGGAAGGGTCTGACCCGGGGGGGAGCGTAAACAGATTTAAGAACTGGGGATATTTGGGATAGTAAGAACAAGCAAAAAGCTTCTTGAACTAATTTTAAAAAATGAAAAATCCGACGTATTTGGCAATCCAATAGAAATAAAACAATAAACGTGAACTAAAACACATCACAAAAATTGTCAAGCGAAACATTTATTCATTTCATCCAAAACATTGACATTCAACCGAAAAATAGTAGATGAGTTCATATTTTCAAACTTTCATAAATCTCTAAGCAAACTTCACCCAAATACCAGACCACTATGGAAAACAATCAAAAACATAGCAAAAGAACAAACAGAGCTACCGCCTTTAAAGAATAATGATGAAATAGTATAATTAGACGCTGAAAAAGCGAACGCCGTAGCAGAGTATCTAGAAAGAGTCTCCCTCCCAAATCTCATAGAATATCCCACTTTCAATTCAGAAGTAGAAGAGTAGAATAGCAATAATAACAACGTTATTTAATGCATCGTTAAGAATAGGATACTATCCGTTATCACGGAAACGGGCTGTTATACTTCCATTCTGTAAACTAGGCAAAAAAACTCCAAGCAAGTACATGTCTATTATTATTTTTCCTTTTGTAGCAAATCTTTTTGAAAACTTGTTTTAAATAGACTGCAAACATTCCTGACGAAAATTAATGCAATGCCCAACGCTGAAGTCGGTTTTTAGAACTAAACATGCAATTGCTCATCAACTGCTGCGATTTGTCGACCCCATAGTAAACGGTTTTAACAAAAAAAACGTACAGTAGTCCTCCTTTAAGCCATCTCACAGACATTAAACCGAATTTGGCCCCAAGGATTGTTGTACAAACTACAAGAAATTGGAACACCTGATTATCTGCTAAAACTAATTCGAAGATTTCTCTGACAGATATTTTCAAGTGAAAATGATGTATGTCACTGTTTTACCCAAGCCTCGCAGGCGTCCCACAAGGGTTGGTTCTTTCAAAAATACTCTTCCATATATTTACAGCAGACTATCCAACTCCACACGAAGCAAGTTTATGCTGACGATAGCGCTATTTTCATTTCTCATACTGATATAAACTTAGCCTATGATTACATACAATTCTACATTTACAGATATACGACCATAAAATGGAGAATTAAAATTGACACCTTAAAATATTAACTCTCAGACTTCCTTCCTTCCCTACACCCGTATGAATAAATAACACCGATATCCCTTGGCTTTCTCATTCTTCGCCAGCCAAATACCTAGGTGTCTTACTGGACAAACAGCTAACGTGGAAACCGCACATTCAAACAACAGACCATAAGTCACATGTAAAAGTTTTAAAGCTATACCCGGTTGTAAACAGAAATTCCACCCTCAGAATAGAAACTGGGCTGCTCATATATAAAATGACAATAAGACCCTCAGTGACATACGTTTGTCCAATATGGCGCAACATAGCACCAACTAATCTTTTCTATACACAATCCAAAACAAATGTCTAAGACAAAACTTGAAAGCCCCCTGGCTCATTTATAATTCACAAACCCACCGAGAGCTTCAAGTACCTCCCCTACACCAGTTTTTGTCGTCTTTTGATACATACGAGGAGAAAATTTAAAGATAAAAATTGGAGTAGTATTTGAGGAATCTTTTTTAGTTTGTCTATATTTCAAGGAAAATTAAGCGAAAAATCGTATTTTTGAAAAATTCTTCATAACCCTACTTTGATAGTCTTTGAAAAAAGAATTTTATTGAGGAAAAACCCTGTTTACAATAGTATAGATATAGAAAGACCTCGAAAAAAATTGAAGTTTTGCAATTTTCAAAAATTAAGACATTTTAACGAAAATGAGACTTACCCTATTTTTAGCAGTTATTTACGCTATCCGAGTCCAAATTTTAACAAAAAAAGCATTGAGCCATTTCACCAAAATTTTGAAAGTGTTTAGAATTCAAGTAAAGTACCCCCAAATTAAAATATTAATTTCCAATTGCAGAGTGTTGAGAGCGTTCAGATTGATCCAGGTATATGAATTCTGGAAAAATCGTGGTAACTGTTGAAGCTTTAGCGTTGACACAGACACGTATTGGTTCTGACTACACATTGTGTCAGAGGAAGCAATTTATCACATATGGGAACAAGATTGATGCACTTTTTCGTTACAAGGTCCAGCAAATTTCGTTACAAGGACTCAGCGTTAAGACCAATTCTGTTGGAAATTTGCTGGTTTTTTTCGTACCATTACACTACATTTTATCTTACGAAGCAGCATGCAAGAATGTAAAAATACAGAATATTTTTAAAATGGCAAAGGTTTCTCTCTCTAAGTACAGCGGTTCTTTTCCCAGTTGTGTTGTTCTCTTCGGCAGTGGCGAATGCTGGCTGGTTCTTGCTTAAAATTATTTTACAAAAATAAGACATGTTTGAATTCATAACTTACTAACGTCCGGATTTGTGGGTGCAAGTACAACATCAGCGTGTTCAACCACATACATCAGAAATAGCGCATTCGCCTGGGCGAGTAGGCTGTCGCCCTGGAGCCCCGAGCGCGTGCTTTGGTGCGTGCGTTGCCGCGCGACGGACACTCTCTAAGTGCGAGCAGCCGGGGTCGCCCGCGTCGCCCCGTGTCGCCCCCGCGGACGCCCGCGCCGCCCGCAAGCAATCCCATCTCATCGAGGCGATGCGTTAGAGGTGGAGGCGATGGAACGAGAAGCCCCGACCACCAGAGGCGGCTGACGGCGGCGCCGTGCAGTGGACAGTCCCCACCTGGGTACCTCCTTCACCTCAGGGCCGAAAAACAACAACAACAACCGTTTACGAGCGACAGTCAGCTTGCGATGGCTTGCCGACGTCATTTGCCTATTGAAAATAAAGAGTAACAGTAACTCTACATAAACAAATGAGAATAAATTAAGTACAAAATCAAACTCATATTTTGTTTCTGGGAAATTCTGCAGGTGAAGATTTGCAGCTCACGTAATCAGTTTTGTTCTTGATTTGATGGGTTCTCGCTGTAACGTGGAGCTAAACGATCATCTAAAATTCGTGAAACACAAGTTATCGTTATTCCACGTCTCTTATCCATTTATGCCCATTTGTACATTTTGAAAAACAATTACTATGATATATTACAATAAATTAAATACATTAAATGTGAAAATATAAGTTGCGCTTTTTTGTTTAATGCACACGACGAGACTGTGTAGAGAGGGTGTAGGTAGCCGATGACGAAGAATGGATATTGCTTCAATGAAATTTCTCTTCGCAATGATAATATTCTTCTTCCATCTAACTTAACCATCTCAAATGGTAAAAGAAGACGACACCACACTGTGTACGTCACTATAGAGTAGGTACAAGGGCACAAATAAAACAAGTTCTTCGTTTACTTAACAGTTTTTAAGTTCACATATAAACTATGTTCCGATTGTGATATAAATTTGATCCATAAATTCGCCGTTAGGAATTCTTACGTTAACTCTAGGAATACTTAGGGACTCATATTTTTTTCCTATCTGTACGTTCAGTTGCACTTATTCGCACTTTCAGATTAATAGAATTCAGATTATCCAATTCAATGAATGTCAATTTCAATAGAATAGTTTTCGTTTCAATGGGGTGGTAATATCTTTTGAAAATAAAATTTTTACATCAAAATATTTTAATTCTAAAACTATTCTATTATATTCACTATAATGTTTGTCATACAACTAAAAAAATGAACTTCTTTCTCAATTCTTTATAATGAATATAAACTGTACTCGTCGTCAACTATTATCTAAATTATTATTGTACATTACTTGTTATTATAATACACTTTACATAGTTATTTATTTTTGCTTTAATGATACCTTGGGGAATATTGTGTAAATACTATATTCTTTGTAAACGTTATAAAATGTTCGTCCAGTGATATTTTTTTTAATTGGATTGCTTTTGTCTCACTTTTTAATTTAAAGCATAGATCTGTCTTCGTATCTTAATTTACAAGAAATGTTTAATTGTTAACTCTTTCGTCTCACAGTATTTGCTCGAAAGTTAAATGTGACATAAAGATTTAGGGACAAAAGAAGTTGCTTTTTGTTATTTAATTCTGATTTTTCAGACAAGTTGAATCTCTAATTAAGAATGGAATTTTATGTAACGTTCCTTCGCCTCATTTCTTACTGTTACAGTCAGAGGACGCTGGTGATTAAAAGTATAGTAGATATCGGAAATGATGAGGCTTTACTTCGCCTCAGCTATTCAATGAGGACGGTTTCTGATGCCATGGCGGATTTCGTAGTGGTTTCCTCGTAGCAGCAGCGCCCTCACAAAATTTTCAGTTCGAGTTCGCAGATGGAAGATTTATTTGCAGGTAAGCGTAATCGTCTGTTTTTTCCCTTTATTTTTGCTTTATACGTTTACACAATGTTTTTACATTATTTTATTTTTTTCCTTTTGTTAAAATGTTCATTTCAACAAGAAAGTATTGGATGAGAACTTTCGGGATATATATAGAATATTCATATTCTCTTCACAAAATCCAGAATATTTGTAAAATACAACCGTTTATGAGTGCTTTTATCAATTTTAAACGAAATCTCTCTAGGAACGTTACCGCACGTATCATGGTCATGCCACAGCATTTCAGAATCTTATTTTAATTTACCTGATTTACCCGTATTTACATTCCGCAACAGAAATAGTAGCTCGAAAAAAAATGTTTCAGATTTATTTCTTTTTTTATTATTTTTTGATGATAGATTCAAAAATAACAGCACCTTCAAAACTTTAATTTATATTATTTAATAATAAATTGGGGCTTTTATTTCAATATTTTGTTGTATTTTACATAATTACATTTTAGAAAGCTTCATGTATTGGAACAGGTACATTTTTTAATATATTTTCCCTGTTTGTCAATGATTCAATTGATACACATGCCCTTAATACAATCAAGGATATTATCTAAAATTGAATTTCTAGTAATCATTTCTGCGTCCCTTCTGATTGAAATTCAATATTCGACAGGCTGGCTAAATTGAAAGGATTTCTCACTCAGCGTTTAAAACAGCATTACGCGCAACGGTTTAAATTGCGAAGTCTGATAAACGTCCAGCTAGAAAGATGAACTGTGTGTAATGTCAGTAACTGAAGCACTTCCGATCAATCAGGCAACTGACAAATGTAATCAACTACCAATGTCCCCTTTCCAGATCGTCACAGAACTGAATCAAACAAACGATGTCATAATGTTATTTCATAATGTCCAAATTTTGTTCCTCCACGATCACGTTGGATCATGTTTCCACGAGCTTCGAAGCAATTTGTACACATATGACGTGGAGTTTTTGGCGTAAAGGGCATATGGCAGAATGGCATAAATATAATTTTATCCACAATCTAAGAAAACACACTTCTTTGTACCACTTGTTGCCAGTATATTTCTTCACATGTGGATGCCCATGTGCAAACAATCTAAAATTTATTGAATATATGAATATTGATTTGATATAGTTAAGACTAAAGCAGAAAATATCTTAAACATAACAATACAATAATAATGTATTATTAATATGTATTATTAAATATTAATCATAATTTTAAATATTAAAAATATTTGTATTTATGTTTAATTAATTTGTATTATATTTGTATTAATGTTTATATTTTAGTAATGCTGAATACTGGACATCTGGAAGAAACTACTTCCCTTTAAGAGAGTCCGTTTTCTCTTCAGAAGACTGTCCCTGCTAAGAAGCGTTCTTTGATATTCGGTTGCAGCTAACTGAACCAAGATGTCGCCTAAAGTGAAGTTGCTCGACAATGCGTAAGTTTTTATGCATTTTTGGAAATACTGTACTATTAAAACGATGTAACCCAACCGAACACACAAACGAAAAGACACACTTAACGGCCAGCGTTCACTGAGGTATTACTCTTTCTACTAAACCTCTTTAATCCGTAATTATTCGTGCAAAAAAATGTTGATGTTGAATATTTGGTTGCATATTGCACAGCAGGACGAATAACTACTGTATTTTGGGCTTGGACAAACTAACCTTACAATCCGTCGAACACATCCAAGCTAGTCGCTCATCCAAAAACCTCACTGAATGAAAAACTTGACATTGTTAAATAATAATAATAATAATAATA